TCTATTTCATTCTGTGGTAGCAAATGTTTCAGTTAAGACTTTTACAGTATGCATAATTAAACTGAGTAATTTGCAAATAACTTAGACACATCTGTTTTTTTAAAAAACTATTTGAACAGTATGCTAGTTAGATTTACCAGACAAAGCTAAGTCCAGACAGTTCACAAACAGAAAACACTCACAATATTCAACAGATCGCTGAACTGTTGCTGACGAGGGCATCCCCGAGGTAACTCCGAGTAACCGGCAAGGGCTGAAACACTTCAGAAGTCTTTGCTTTCACAGATCCCTCTTTGTCATTCCCTTCACCTGTACAAACGCAGCAGTAGGTGCCGTAGCTGTTACAGTTTAAGATTGCAATTTAAACAAGGCTGCTTTTTACAGTGCTGAAGGGATCAGAAAATGAAAGGAGCACTTAGTGAATGTCAGTTAGCTGGATCCGTGATTGCCAGATGAACTAGCACAGGGAATACTCAGCAGCACCCCAGTTATGTGCCTAAAAGGAAGAATCCTTCACTCCCAGAAGAGGTGAGACACATCTCTGGAGAAGATACAAGGTATACCCCAAGCTGCCTGGCTGCCAATTGCCCTTTCCTCTGCCTATATTCGACAGGCATTTCTGCTCTGAGCCAAGCATATTACAAACAATTAAAACCACATAGCCTGCAGATCAAACAAGCACACAGAGAGCAGCATTATGTTCATTAAATAAAACCTAGTCATTTTATGATCAATGACAAATCTTGGTTTAAGGAGAGGCCATTTTTAACTGAAAAAGGAGCAGCCAAAGGGAAAAAAGTCTCAATCATCTCCATTTTGCAGTTACAGCAAAGTCTATCAGTGAAATTTTGCAAAACACAGCCCTATGCATGCATTTTTTGGCACTGCCTAGGGCAAGAATTCCCAAGTGGCTGTGTATGTACCACTGAGAGTATATACAGACACCTCAGTGTGGGAGAAGATACAGCACAAAACCAGGACCTGTTACCACTGTTGGTGGTATATTGTATGTAGAAAAGTACCTCTCAGTGCAGAATTTCACTCAGTTTTCAAGTCGAAAACACTTGTATAACAATTTTGGAGTTTGAGGCAGTGTCATTTAAGTAATTTTTTTTTTACTATGTTCATTATTTCCTGTATGCATTTATGCTCTGTAAAATCTTTCAAGAACAGCTATTCCACAATTGTTAAGTCACCTCCATTTAAGGTGATCAGACCGAGATCTGCATTGTTCATTTGGGGGTTATTTTTCATGTATGATAACGTATTTACAGATTATACATAGTTTGATGGTTTATGTTTCCCCATCTTTTTTGAAGTAGGAAAAACCTGGAAGCCATTCTCTCAAATCTGCTGAGAGATGTTATTTAGGGCATGTCATGGCATGTCACGGCACAAGTAGCTGTCTGGTTTACTGGTACAAAACCGGTTCAGTGTGGCCATGCCCTCTCCCCTTAGTCTCTTTGTGTTCATGTCTTTAACCTTAAAAGCTCCTAGTCTCATTGCATGTATCATCCAAGGGTTTACTACATTAAGGTTTCATTTATTGGTGCTATTTGAATAGAAATTACTGATTTATAGAGTGATTATGACAGTCACCAAAATGACAGAATTTATGAGAAATAATGCATATGGACACAGATTTGAAACTTCCATTCATTTCACTTCTACAGCATTTTGAGTTCAGATCTATTGTAATTTCATGTCATTCCTACCCCATCCTTTCTTCAGATCCCCACTTGCAGATCACCTTCTGTCTCTGTTCTCGCTCCCCAACTGCCTTCACAGCCTGCACAGAGTCACTGGGGGAAGGGGAATGCTCGTGTCTTGGCTTCATGTTCCCCAGTGTGGTTTCATGAACTTAGAAGGAGGGCCAAGTGAACATTTGTAACAAGCTAACATTTAAAAAACGTTGCCTTTGTTTAATAGAAATCACCTTTCTGTAAGACTCAACTACAGATCTGCAACATTGCTATATAATTCAGTATACTCACATGCAGGGCCCTGAAGAGAACTGATGACATCTGGTAACTATAAAAGCAAAGCTCAAGTGATTCCTCAGTGTTATCAGAAACCTGATAAGGGTGCAGCTTCATTCAGGATTTTTTTAACTGTGTGTGTTACTTTCACAACCAGTACACTTTCATGAGCCTTATATAAATGCTATGGCAGCACAAGAAATCAGGAGGTAATTAGCTGTCAGTTGGTGGGCTGGTTGACTTGTTTCTGTTGTGTTTGTTTTTCTTTTAATTACGGTTGCATGGGAGGATTTTTCCCAGAGGGATGAGGAACACAGTGTCCAGCAGCACCCACTTAAACAGTTTTGCTCCATTGATTTTCAGTGTTTGGCTCTTACCAGATAAGATTTTAGGAAAGTTTGTCATAACTGCTGGAGATGTGTGGGTGAGATTGTTCTTCAATGGCACTGTAGCCAGGAGATTTGTTTCCTCGTCTAACAGGTGCTTTGGTAATAATTTCTGAGCATCAAGAGAAACAGTGAAATAACAAGATTCATTGCAATAACACATCTAGGTCTTTTGCTGAGAAGTTCCTTCTCTCACGTGCAGTGAGGTGAGATGTGTTGATGTTTGGCCATGTGGCAAACTACTGGGCAAAGAAGGTAGCCAACAGACAGATGCCACAGTCATCTGTCTGCTAGCAAAGATGGGGCTTGATATATGCCAGCAGCCAACTAAAAGGTCTGCAAGATACCAAATGCAGTAATGGCAGGTACTAAGTCACAGTTAAAATTAAGTCTATTGTAGATCCACAGTAATAATTTTCCACTTTTCTATCAGTGTTTGTTGGTTGCCATTTTTGTGCGATCCATCTCTCCGTTAAATCGGAGACATGTTTCAATTTCCTGAGCTGCCGAGTCACAAACTAGCTGCTGCTGGCTTTTTAGCTGTCAGCTTCAGCTTTTGGACAACAGCTTAATTTTTCCTTTCTTCTCTATTCTTAAGAAGTTTTGCTAATTTATCCGTCATGCATTTTAAAGTCCATTCCTTTTCAAGAAGATATTGTTACTGTTGTTGTTCATTAATTTATAAGCATAAATTAATGTTTTAATTAATAATTAATGTGTTTATATGACACAAATATAAATTAAGTGGGATCTGATTTTCTCATTCTGGCTAATTGCATGCCATATATTTATATGTACATAGAGATTTCAGTATTCAGTGATCAAGCCCTAGATCCCTCAGACACAGGCTGTGTATGCTCAGTGCTTGATTTCTTCCTCATTGCGGTACCCACTAATGTGCTAGATGTCCTACAAAACTAATAACAAGGGAAAAATACTGCCTTGCAGATCTCACAGTCTATTTTGGATGCAGCAGGAGGTCCAGCAGCTCGTAAACTAGACCAGGACATAAAGAGCAATACAGGATAAGAATTGGACCAGGGATTAGATGAATGATACTGCAGTTTTTCAGGTGTTTTTTCCTGTGCTTCATTTTTATGCCGTTTAAACATATGTAATTCCGCTCATAGATGGACCTGCCACTTCCTAAAAGTGTCCCCCAAAACTGGAGGAGTGTGAGGAAGGGAAGTTAGGGTCAGGAAGGGAGAAAATAGAGGCTGTTACCAGGAAGAGGAGAAAACCAGTGGCAAAATAAAATGTGTAGGGGGAGACAGTCAGAGAGGAATACATACCTTGGTTTCAAACGTGGGAGGCATTCTGTTTCTCAGCTTGTTTTTGCTATCTATGTATGATGATAATTGATCTAGCTGCAAAAGTGATCTTGAAAACCATCTGAGTGAAAGAGAGAAGGCATTACTGTGGAGCGAGCCCAAAATCCCAGCCTCCAGCCCACACACAATTGGACATTGCAGTGATATGGGGGAAATCCCTTAACGGACAAAACTATAAATGAAACTCCTGTTGACAAGGGGAAGAGGCGCAGCTATATTTAACGGAAGTATTTTCATTTGAGAGCTGCTTTCTTTTTCTCTTTTTTTCTTTCTTGTCTAGTCGGTGGAGACTGCGAGGGCTCTTCCTGTTTGAGACAGTGCATGGGTGGTTTCCCCAAGGCTTTTAATGTTAGATTAATGCTCTGGAGACAGTGTGGTGATAAATGGGCTCCTGCAGTTATATCTACATCCTGTTCCCCCTCCCCCCTCCCGCATCTGCCCCTACATACAGTCGCTCTGCAGCACTTGCCTTCATACCCAGCAACAGTTTTGAGCAGCTTCTGACAGCATTTAAGGCACCTCTCTTCAAAATTGTCCACCAACATTCTTTGTTTTTCAGTGCTGTCACCTTCATTGCCCCTTGTGTCTCAGACAATGACAAAAATGAAACAGGGAAGAGAAAGACTTCTGTTTAAAGGCTGGGCTGCCACACTGGCTTGTCGTCTGCTGCTTGGCAGATCTCAATTAATTACTTTTGCTATTAGTGTTCACTTTCAGAAAATAGGCTTGCAGAAGTGGCCTTCCTCTTGTTTCACATTTTAATGGCAATGCTCTGCACGTCACGTTGTACTCAGCAGTAAATGAGCAGAGGGTTTGAAATCTCTTCCCTGCTATAAGGGAATGGCTCCCCTGTGTCAGCTGCATCTATTGCATGATTTTATACAACTTGCGTGCTGATAAGGGCTTAAGTATTCAGCTTCATCAAACACCAAGACTGAAATACAGCAAGGGAAATGAGCACTACTGTTTTTTAGCTGGACTTGCCCTTGTGGTGATTCCTATTTTTTATTGTGTTTGGTTCTGTTTTCAGGTAGCGTAGTTCTCTGGTTATTTTTCTCTGCGTGCATTTCCACTTCTATACGGCTTCCCCTCTATGTGCAGCATGCAGGGGAGGGGGATGGGTGGTGGCAGGGTGGTCAGGATGGCTCTGGTTAACCTCCCTGGCTCCGTGCAGCCAGCCCGCGTCCTCCTGCTTACGCGGCAGCGTCTCTCAGATCTCAAAGCAGGATTATTTTTAGACTGTGGAGGTGTATCTGGCTGGTGCGTTTAGATTTCGTGTCATGGCTTCCTTTTCCTGCTCTCAGGTTTCTCCCACTCGGCCTTCACCTTCGGTATTGAGAGCCACATCAGCCAGTCCAACATCAACGGAACACTAGTGCCACCTGCCGCACTCATCTCCATCCTCCAGAAGGGGCTCCAGTATGTGGAGGCTGAGATCAGCATCAACGAAGTAAGTACCCCCACCACCACCACTGAGCAGCACCCTGGGGCTTGCAAAGTGATGTGGCCCAATAGCCCAGAGACACAAGCCACCGCTCCGTGGTTTCTCTTCATCTGGTTCAGTTTTGTTCCTCATACTTTGCCCTAGCAGAGAGCTGAAAAGCTCTGAGATACATCCGTATTTCACTTAGCTGTGGCATTGAGACCTTCTTTGCCTAAATAGATATTAATGGTGTTTCCAGTACCCCCGTCAAAAATTCAGAGTGCACAGTTATTGCCGCAAACAAGAAAATGCATCTGTGTTTACAGTCTTGTGTTTTCAAGGTCGCAGCAGAATTTGGCTGGAAAAGCCTGCAGTGTAGGTTAAAACTTCACTCCCTGACATCTGCTAGCAGGCAGCACTGCTTGCAAGCCATGAGAAGCCTGATCAAAAATCCACAGAGGTCACTGGAGAGATTCTGTCTGATTTCAGTGACTTTGGCTCAGATCATATAAGAACAGGCATCGTCCTCTTATGTACATGGCAAATGGATGTGTGTAAATTCTGACCCTACCTGGGCACTGGTTGTCTGTGGGGATTGTATGAGGAGCCACAGAGTGTCTCTGCTCTCTTTGAACTGCCAGGGGAAACAAAGAGGTGATGTGGGGAAAGCCAGCATTTTTGCCCTGCCGTTCTAAAAGCCATGATGCTTCAAGAGGGAGTGGAGCATGACAGATAAGCAAGCGCTACATTACAAAGTATTTACCATAGATATTCATAATTGACAGAGATCTGTAATAAATATTAATGCATAAAAAAGCTATTGCTTCTTTTCTCTATAGTTGAATGTGGCATGTTAACAGCATGGGTGAGAACAAAGGAATATAAAATAGAGAAAAGATTGTGTTGTTTGCAATGTGTTTGGAAACTCATTTGTTTTTATCACTAACATTCTATGTTATTTTCATTTTATGACTTGATACCATGTTTTAGAGTTGTGTACATGTTATTTTTTAATTGGGGCAATGACATTTGACATTCGTGCCAAGCTGCATTTTGAAGCAGTTGTAATAACAAACCAGCACAAGGAATCCATCCCAATTTGCTGCTACTTAACATTTTGTCCTGTGCCTGAAACTGGAGCTACACAGTTAGAAACTTTCAGCCATGAACAGCACCTATCACTTCAGGTCGTATGACAGCTGTAGGGTTTTCCTCCAGTGCATCCAGCTTCAGGATTAGCCTCAGCTGAGAGAATAACCTAAAAACATGTATTTTGTCACCATTAAGATCTACGTTGCTCTCATCATGGTTTGAATCTCATCAAGTACATACTGTTAATTAAATTAGAGCAAAGCAATGCCATTCTTGCTGCATCCAAATGCCAACAAGGGCTACATATATTTTTCTCTGTATTACTTAAAAGCAGTGAGTATAAAGTGAGACTGTAAACTAACGTGTATAAAATTTAAGTATTGTTTGTGATGTTTCGAAGGGCAGTCATGGAAATAGCCCAGTGAGCAGTTTTACAGTTAAAAATGTAAGACACCAAAATCCATTGGCAAACATTTTTTCCATTGTGTAGCAAGGATTTGAGCCAGGATTCAAATAAATGTCGGTAGAGACATTTACATAAAAAATGTTGAGGAGAAAGAGAGCTTATGTTTTTCTTCTCTAATGACTCTTTCCTCCCTTTTCTTCCCCATGAGGAAACAAACGTGTTATCTTAACATTGTAATTGTAAGGGGTAATTCAATGACTCATCCAACAGAAGCATACTAGCCAGCCAAACGGTTATTTTTCTTCATTACTTATTGTTGTGTATTGAAAATTATATTGTTTCCCAGCTACTTCATCTGTCCATATCCTAAACTTACCTACTATTCCTCAAACACAAATCTTTCACTGGTGGGTCTTTATTATTTCAAAGGACTAAAAGGAGTTTGCAAAAGATAAGTAAAATGGTACTTTACAAGGCTAGTATAACATTTTTCCTCTATTTGAGATAATAGGAAAGTGAAGCAAAGCTAAGTAGATGTAGCAGTTGTTGACCTGTCTCTATTAAGTCTTATAAAACAGCCCTTAAAGGTTAACTCGATTGGGTTTTAAACCTGAAGCCTAATTTACAGAAATCAAAATGAAAGCTATAATTCACTGTTGTGAATAAAACTAGTGGAATAAAAGAAAAACTGTGGTAAAGCACTCCTGTACAGTCAGCTACAATTGGTAGTGCTGGGCTGATGAACACCGTGTGAGAAACCACTGAATTCGTGCATACATCTTGTTTTGGCTGAGGTTCATTCTTCATCACCTGCTTCCATTCCTATGTCCTTGCAAGTGCAGTAAGACAAACAGTTCAGCTAAAGTCTATTTGCCTTTGTCGTGGCTTTAGCCCTGACTCTTTTTTTCCGAATACAAAACAAAGAGGAACTTTCTGTTGTCAGACTTTTTTCTTTTTTGTTTTTTTTTTCACAGCATGAAGTTTTTATAAAATTCCAATAAATCACTTATTCACCAAAGAGATTTCTAAGTGGAACGTGAATACCACCATCACAGATCCGTAAGAGAGAGACAGTCCTTAGTAATGTGGCACTACTAGTTAGGTCAAAGTGTAGTACCTTCACACAACCTAGTTTTTTTTCTTTCTATCATTGCCTCTTTGCCGACCTCAATGGTGAAGATCCTAAACTTGCAGTTTCACTTCTGCTCGTTTTCCCTGCAGGATGGTACAGTATTTGATGGCAGGCCAATAGAATCCCTGTCTCTGATAGACGCAGTGATGCCTGATGTTGTTCAGACCCGGCAGCAAGCATTCAGAGAGAAACTAGCTCAGCAACAAGCCAGTGCAGCGGCGGCAGCAGCAGCAACGGCAGCAACAGCGGGAGCAACGACGACTGCTGTTTCCCAGCAGAACACACCAAAGAACGGAGAAGCCACTGTGAATGGAGAGGAGAATGGGGCACATGCAATAAGTAAGCAAACCCATGCAGCTGCTTGCCATTACTGGGCACTTTGAGTTTCAGTTATGTTCTTGTCTTGTACTTGGTTGGTGTCTGCAAGGCTGTAGAACTAAGGGGAATCATTTCAGGCAGGTGGGGTATTTCTAGAAAGGCTGTTGAGTAAAAATCATTTTTTACATCACAGTGCTGTTTTGAACAGCATTGCCAAGCACAGGACAGGGAGTTGTATGTGCCAAGGACCATTCCCAGCAGACAGCTTGGAAGCAGACAACCTGTCTTGAAGGCACAGCGGAAAGGGTTCCCCACCTTTTTATTTAATAGCACATGCTTAGTCGCACAGTCCACTGCAGGTATCTAACTGAAGGTCCTACCTTCCGGAGGTTTCCTTAGCATGTGGGAACGGTCAGTTCTCAAGAGCTCTGAATTCACCTTTGTTTATTGGTGTTGGCAGGGGACTGTGCTCATACCTTAGACATCTAAAGTCAGGCATATAAAGCAAGGAGTGGACATACCTGCTTGTGTATCTAGGTCTTGCCAATTATGCTAACCCTGTGGGGCAGATATGATTAATGGTTCTGGTTTCTGTGTACAAGCTATATTAGGGCACTGGCTAACTTCTGAAATGAGGCCTTAATTCCTGATTGCCTTCTGAGGAAATTCTAGAGGAACGTGCATGGCAGGTTTTGCAGGAAGCCCCAACAACTCTTTGGCTTAGACAGGGAACAGGTCAGGACCGTAATAATGTAAAAGGTTTTATTTGTTCTGCAGTGTAGATACCTTTATCAGGCTCCATCTTCTCTTTGATCTGAATAGATTAATCTGTGGGTCAGTGAGAAAAATGCTTTCAAACAAGGTTTTTTCTTCAGAGAATTCCAGTTAGATGGGATATTTTCTCCCAGTAAAACTGCAATGATTTAAATTACATTTTTCATTTGAGAAAGTAATTGTAAAAAAAAAAAAATTGTCAAAATTCAAAAATACTGATTTGGTTTTAGACTATGGATTCCTTACATTTTACTTCCAACTGACCTTTTGTTTGGAATTGAACTCATTTTATATATGAAGGGGTGCACACAGAAAGAAAAACACTTTTATATGTATCAAATAAGGACATTTTATTCGTTGACACTTTCCTTCAGCTGATTTGTGAAAATTTTGGGGGAACATCTTCCTCTGTCTGAACCAAAAAAACCCAAATTCTTAAGGTGGAAAACTGATTTTTGGTTCATCGCTAATACAGAACCTCTCAGACTTACTTCTTTCTGATCAGAAGAAAAACACATACAATTGTATTAATAAATGGAAAGCCTGGAAAACAGTTCAGATGTACAATCAGACTCTAACCAATGATTTCTCAAATCTGCCGTTTTAGCATTAAAAAATAATTCTCACAGCAATTTATAGGAGAATTTTCACAACAGTTGCAGAGCTTTCTTAAAGTGTTGAGGAAGAGTGACAATGTCATCCAATAGCTCTGTCTGGAGCAGGATGCAAGAACATGGTACTGTGTTGTCCAGTAAAATTTAAGGGAGGTAAGATACATGTTCATGTCCACCAATGAAATATGCTAACAGACAGAAAATTTCAAAGCACTACTGTGGCTGCTAAGCATCCCACATGTAGACAGGCTAACAGAGCAATGGAAATGGGAAGACAGAAAGTCCTTGAGGAAGAGCTGGCCAGCTGGCATGTGTTGTTGGCAGCTGCTGTTTGTGCCAGTTGGTCATCCTGGGTAAAGAGGTGAGCTCAGCAATTTAAGGATATAGATACTTTGGAAAAAAGCTGCTGAGAAACCCAGCGACAGCCAACTCTGTGATGTGTGCCTCCCTCACCTTGGGACGACTATAGCCTTTCTGTCTAAGGCCTTCAGAGGGTATCGGCAAGGTGGTGTAGCACAACTGCAGAGGAGGGTTGTACATGGGAGATGCACACAGAACTGCAAAACTGGCATTCAACACCGTTGAACAGTCCTGTGTAAATAGATTCCAAGAGATCTGCCTCCATAATTATCAGAAACCACTAGAAATAAAGACTAACAAATCTAGCTGGCAATTTGCTGCATGGCTCTGATTAATACTCTTATAATTGTATTTCCCTCTCTTATGGTAAAGTTAGAAAAATATAGTTATGTTAATGAAATAACAAAGGGGTCATATCCTTCCTTTTCATTGCTTATGCAGGGCAAACTATATCCTGCCATACCTTTTCCCTTATCACCATGTTCAGAGAGTCTGTTTAGTCTAGGAAAGACTAAGACAAAAGATCTGTCAAGAGCTTAGCTTAGAACAAAAGGTTTAGAGTAGGACGTACAATGGCTTTGATAATGACTTAAGTTTTAGGATGGGTAGGACAAAAGTTTAAGATATGATGTAATATGTGTAAGGTGAAAGCTGTGAGACCTACTGGGTAGAAAAGACTGCTGGTATGCAAGATGAGAAACTTCCAAGACCTTCATTTTCACTATTGTTGGATTCCACACTACTGGCATATACTGGGATGGGTTTGGACAGTGTGCTGGTCCTTAGTCATAACCTGAAGTCACCCATATATCAGCATGTCACAAAAAGGTGGATGGGGGAAGCAGGTAGAAGAGATGTCTTTGGGAAGTTACCTAGTTGGCATTTACTCTGACACTGTAAGTCTTCCCAAAAAAAGTATTAGTGTATTTAATACAGAATGATATCTTCCTGAATGCGGTGTTATCAATATAATATGATAGGGTGATTTGGTTCAAGGAAGGGAAGAGTCTGAAAAAAATCTAACAACAGTTTGAGGTGCAGATTCAAATACTAAATAAATAAAATCGCTGCCTTCTCTTGCTGCTTCCTGAGTAATGTTTTCAGCTTTGAGTCACTTTAAAAATTAGTAGAAAAAATAAAAAATGGCATGTAGAAATGGAGCCAAGCTTTGAATTGTTTTCCAACTCAAATATTTTAAGTGTCGTTTGTTTCATTATATTTGCAAGAATTGGCTTGGGTTTAAGTAAAATAAACCTCTGGAAAAAGACTGAGCCCAGTTCCTTTATTGTAACTACAGGCATAAAAAACAACTTCAGTGAAAGACCTGTCAAAGATTTAAGTGAAAAAAAACCCACATTTCCTGAGAAAAGACAGGGTTAGCACTGGTAAGGTCTTAAAAATATATCTTTTTTAATTTGAAGGAAATAGAGAGTTAATATTACTCATTGGTGTGTTGGAATTATATTTTGTAAGAAAACTTTAGTAGTTTTGGGGAATATGACTTCTAATTTCCAGTGATTTGGGATTTTTAATACGTTTGAAGTATATAGTGTAGGTTTAACCAAAGATCCTGTGGCATTTAGAAACTGGTTTGTGCTAATATTTGGGCGGAGTCCTCCACTATGTGTCCTGCAGCGTTAGGTTTTCACCTATGAGGGACTGTCGTGTGTAGTAGAACTGCCTTCTCTTTCAGAGGCCCCCACAGAGGCATTCTCTGTGCACATGAGGTATAACCAAGTGACTCTGAAGAGACTTCTATTTTTTTAAAGAAGCCTATTCTTGATATGCATCTTACTGATCTTTTTATTCTCATTCCCCATGCATACACTGTAGCTGCACCCATAGGGAAGCCAAGTTTTCAGATGAGACCAGGGCTCACAGGAGCTCGTGCTGCGTAAGGAACTCGGCACTCTTTGGAGGGTGCCGTTTTGTGCTCAGGGGTTTCTGCAGTTTCTTGTTGTTATCATAATTGTATCCATTTTATATTGCTAGTGTCTGTCTGAGTCTGAGAAGAGCCTGAAGCATTATCACAGAAGCATGAACCGTCCTGTTTGTTCAATGGGGCATTTTAAGTTTTGTGCTTAACAGTAATACTCTAAATATGAATGTTCCTGACTACTGATGAAAAGAGGAAGAGAACACATGTAATGTGAACATTTGTGAGCAATTTTTGAAAGACTCCTCATTTTCCCCTCCCTTTCCTCCTGAACAACCAAAGCTGTAGCGTCAAAGTCGTTACTGGAAGACGGTAGAAATAATCCTGCAGGTATTTGATTTCTCCCAAAGGCCAGTCAGTCTTGCATGTACTAATGCAGGTAGCAGCCAATCAAGGTTTCTTTTTCACAGCAATTTGTGGGGTTTTTTTCACAGCAGTTAATAACATTTGAAGTGTGTATCTAGGTTCCTCCATCTGGCCATGTACAAACAAAAAGTATTTCTGCATGTCAGATGGCCTTGCTCTGATAGGACCTCATGACTTTGGGACCTTGGAGTAATGCTGCTTTCAGACTTTCATTTGGTTTTATTCAAGTGCAAAAAGCAGCTCTACCTTTAGAGCCAGGCAGGTAACAGTAGGATCATACGTGGTAAGAGTAGTATCTCATTTAAATTTTTCAATGACAACTTATGAGAGATCTTGATTTACTCACACTGTGAACAGGACACAGATGAATGCATAGCCATTCAACTGTGCTGCTGTTTTTCTCATGAAAATATGCTTTAAACCTGGCAATTCTGTGCTATGCTGAGAAATTGAGGATTGCAAGTTCTAGACTCCTATCTTCTGGTGGGTTTTAATAATGCTTTGCTCTTCATTGCCCTGATTGCTCAGAATATCATATCAAAGTTCCCAGCTGCTAGTGTCAGGCTAAATCTTGAGTACTAGTATATCTTGACAGTATTAATTTTAGTAGTTATATATACGCAGAGAATTATCCAGGACAATGCTTAAAACAGGGAGGCATTTGTAATATCTTCAGTTTTATGCAACAAATCCATAGATAATAAATGTAGTTAAAAATATAGATATAGAAATGTGAGCTGTGAAACTACTGTTAGTTGTTTTCTAATTTTGATACTCGGTGCTATGCCACTCATTGAATTATGTGTGAACTCCATTCCATCTATGGCGTAGATGTGGCACAGACATAGTTAATAGGGTACCTAACCAGCCTCGGTAAGGGTGGAAATCTGGAGATGTTCCTTCCGATGGCAGTTGTGCAACGTCACAGTCTGTTCTGCCAGTTGATGGGCAGTAGCTCGGCAGAGTTTGAGTATCAGGACAGATGGCTGATTTTAAAAGCCATAAACATGTGGCAGTAAAGGAGCATAATTATTCCACTTGCAAACCTATGGCTCTCCATATGTGATTAAAGAATGACTAACCAAAAGACTTAACCCAGAAAGAGAACTTGCATTTTGATCAATCAGAGATCAGCTGGCCAAGGCATTGATTAGGTAACAGGAGGCTGCCTTTCCCCCAGTCTGGAAGCTGTCCACTCTTGGATGCGCTTTCTGCAAAATGGGCCACACTTCTGTCTGTAACATCTGCTGTCTGCTGTTTCAGTGTGGTACCTGTCCTTGGTTGTGTCTTGTTCGCAGAGGCTAATAATCTTGCATTGCTGCCAGGAAGTGTAGTTTTAGCTGAATGAGGAACAGTTATACTGAAGCAATGAAAATCTGGAGTGAAAACATTGTTCATGATGCAAATGGGAATGAACTGCTGCCTCTAAGAGAAATTCATCATTCTAAATTCACTTTTTTCCCTTAAGGAAATAAAAGAGCTTTATAAAAAAAAAAGTTACTTTGCACTGCAGTCTAAAGAACCACAGAATGCATGCAGTATGCCTCAGTTGGTACCTTTGCATATATTATGGTACCCTTGGTAAGCTGATCACTCACTGTTTCCCTGCCATGCTCAGGCAATGAGGCCCTTGGTATATTCTTCATCTGTTAGTAGCACACATACTACTTTCAGGACACTGTCAGAAAATGTATGTGTTGTATGTTACTTTTTTAAAGAACAGCATAAAGCTTTTCTCAAATCTGGCAGTCTGCTATTTTAATAAATTTTAAGTCATTTTTAATGAAGCCAGCTTAAAAAAAAGAACCTATATTGAGTAAAAGCTAACTATTTTTTGGAAGAAAAGCTACATGCGTTTATACAAAATATTTTGGAAAGCTCTACATTTTGAGGAAATATCATCAATCTGAATCATCATAGGGAAGAATATACATTAATATGCTCAGCAACACACCACAGAATATTATTTATAGTTTATATGTTGCTGTAAGCTTTAAGCCATGGGTAGCGGGCTTATTTTTAAAGCAGACCTAACAGCACCTTGCAAACTACTTATTCTGATGTATTTCCTTACAGATAATCATTCAAAGCCAATGGAAATTGATGGGGATGTTGAAATTCCTCCTAACAAAGCAACAGTCCTACGGGGCCATGAATCAGAGGTGTTCATCTGTGCCTGGAACCCTGTCAGTGACCTGCTAGCATCTGGGTAAGACCATGGCTGAAACCAGCTGCTGGAAGAGTGTATTTGGGGGTGCAAGAACTTGAAAATGTGTATTGGAGATGAATGAGCTTTCACTGGTTTTTCAGCCTGCAACTCTTTTTCAGCAGTACTGTATCTGTTTAGCAGTTAAGTATAAGGTGGCACAGAATATGAAGCATTTACACATTTAACGTGTGCACTCTGGGGCCCTAAATACACATACTTTTTTTAAAAGGCTTTTTAAAATAACAATGGATAATTCTCAGAGTATTTGAAGTTCATGTAATCTACTCCTACTGCTCTTAGTTAATGGTTCACACTAGAAAGTCTTCAGCATCAAAGTTTTCTTTTTAAAAGTATGGAGACTCTAAAATGGAGTTTTCTTCTGCTGTGTATACATTAGCGTGGTGCACAAACAGTAGACCTGTAGAGCAAAACTGTTTTCAGGACCTCATGTCACCTCTCTTTGTATGGGATAGGGAGACTTCAGGCTGGACCTAGTTTTGTCCAGTGAGATGAACATGAGGGAGTCATTTGAGGGCCTGTGTTGAAAGGACTGGTCAGCAATGACAACCAAAGCATGGTAAGTGGGACAATCAGGAGACTGACTTACAAAAAGCACTTTTGATTTGAACAAAAATACTAATCTAAACATAACCTGAGAGCTGTATATACAGACACTGTTGAAATCTGTGTTTGTTCATGCTTGAAGTTAAAACTTAAAATGAAGGTTACATTTCAGAAGCCTAGCTGGGAATGTGGAAGAAAGCTGCTATAAGTTAGAGGAGATAAATGGGTCTTCATCACTTAAAGTTGCTTAGCAGCATCATAACACATTTCTTAGAAGAAAGGAGAATCCTTATTTTATTTCCATCTTCTTGCAAGATCATCAGAATGGTCATGATGTCTTTGTTGGCTTCATACATAAAAGAAAATGGGAAAGAATAAACAGGAAAAATAAATACCAGGTTGGATAAACAGCACAAAATCTCTCGGAGAGTGAGAACAGAAATTTCCAAAGAAAAAGTGCAAACAAGAAGACA